TTTAAGTGTACTGTACAGTAGGCCTACTTGAGGTTTTTTTTCTTTTAGTATTTAAGCAAGTGATGATATCTAACAGTCATAAACATACAATAAGCTGTGTTTTATTTAGAAAACAAAACACAAACCTATTTATACGGTTATGATCAGTGAAATCTGATCCTTCTGTATCCAGAATATTCTTCTTATGGTTTTTACCTATGTATTTTCAAAATAACGATGATATCCTATGTCTGTTCAGCATATCTGTAATGTTACACTGATTAAAATTGTTAAATAAACCTTTACATGTCTACACACATAATTATTCACATTGCAATAACTTCCGGTGAAAATAGATGTTTACTCTTGGACTATTCAACAAAATGATAATTTATACGCGAAAAGCACTCCAGAGTGCAAGCAACTAAATTTTATGGGTGGTCATGGTAACTTTTGTGATGCCCTATTGTGTTAAACTTCGAAAATAACAATGAATCGAGAAAAAATGGCGGCCATTTTATTTAGAAAATAGACCACGTAACCAGATTTTATACTGTTAAAAATACTGTTACCCCTGTAACAGTATACATTTCTTGTTCACGTGGTACATTGCATTAACAGTAAGAATAACTTCCAGAGATACTATGGGAAATTAACATTACGAAAAAGGTGAGGGGTAATAATATTATATGTAACACTTTCAGTATACATAAAAAACTTGCCTCTTATTGAACGCTCCAATTCAAACTTATTATTAATAATATCACATCACTGCCGGTATTTCTGGACATTTTGTTAAATTGTGAGACGGAACGTTAAATCTGTATTAACGAGCTTAAATTATATAGGCCTACGTTTGGTTGCTCAAACTAGAAAGCATATGATTATATTCTTTCCGCGAACGAGCCTATGTACTCTTATAAGCGAGGGACCTAGTTAAAGTAGACACTGTGGTTACAAGCAAATACTGAACATATAGTGAATCAGTTCCACTCTCTATATATTTCTTGTCAGATTCGCATGATAATGAAGTATATGTTGGCGGTTTCTAACGTCAGGTTTCTGTTAACTTACGGAAAGTTTTAGCACACGAACATCACACTGTAACATATTATTGTATCCAATCGGACCTGGTCAATTAAATTTTATAATAGACTTGATGTTTACTTATGGACACAATTCAAACAACTACAGAATTATGTTAAGTTAACATAAGCGAAAAACCATTATTCTTAGTCTTCTAGCTAGTGTTCCCGTTCCCCTACAACGCGTTGCGGTATTCAAGATACGCGCTTGAATGAAAAAGCACTTCATTGCTCTTTTTCTCTTAAAAATGAATATACACGTAAAATACGACAGTATATCATGATAACTATATGAATATTTTGTATATTAGAGTTTATAAAGCGGTCACTGGTCTTTCACTTCAAATGATTTTAAATTGATTATTTTAAATAATTGTTTTCTAGTAAAATTGCCTTTTTGACACCAACTTTGTTCTGACTTTTCATTTTAATGATAACATTTAGCTTTGATCAATAAGTAAATAAGACTAATCAATTTTTTATAATGACCGAGTAAATTTTACGCTAACTGTGAGTCGAACCCTAAGTGACGTCAGTATTGGCGCCGCCATTTTGAAATGGACGTCACGTCAGGTTACAACGTAAGTCAACGAGAAAAATATAATTTTGACATTTTTACCATATTACTTACTTTATGGACAAAATGAAAAACATGCATATATATATTGATGTAAGGGTTAGCATGACATAAATTTAAATGATTTTACTATTATATTTAATAAAAAATGGAATATTCAAAATTGATGATAGAACATCATTTATTGTTCGAGATTTTTTTGTAAAAATATCCAAATGGTACATTAATATTGTTTATATCAATATTTGAAATACTTATTAAAAATGTGCCCATTGTAGACCAAACAACTATAAATAACTTAAATGAAACGAAATTTCATTACAACATCCAACTAATATACGATCAAGTTTATATTATATACAAAGTAAAATTGCTGTTTAAAATTTAAACCATGATTTATAATGGCAAATGTGTTACCTTTATACTAAATCGATATATATATATAATTGAGCCGTGTCATGGCAAAACCAACATAATGGGTTTGCGACCAGCATGGATCCAGACCAGCCTGCACATCCGCGCAGTCTGATCAGGATCCATGCTGTTCGCTTACCAACCCTATTACAAGTAGAGAAACTGATAGCCCTGATCAGACTGCGTGGATGCGCAGGCTGGTCTGGATCCATGCTGGTCACAAACCCATTATGTTGGTTTTGTCGTGACGCGGCTAATATCTGTTACAAAATTTAATCATAGATTCGTATTGCCCTTTTTAGGTTATAAGTCAACTTCAATATGAACAGCACAGTTCAGTATAACAATAGTAGTGTATTATCGGCAACGACTGCACAACTAAAAACAGAACGAGCGTTGGTGTTAACAATAACAAGTATAGTATCTGTATTGATCATCCTGGTTGTGATTGTATTTGGAATAAGGCAATATTTCAAACGCAAGTAAGTCATTATTCACAAGGAACTTTATCCATACATTTTTCTCTGTTTTAAAATTTAAAGATTGATAGTGTTACTTTATGTACAAAAAATACTATGATAATTATTCATGTCAAATTGCATCTGCCTGTCGTTTTGCTTAAAGTTTTAGACTATAAGGTGTTCATAATATGTGTCTTTATTTTATCAAATTGTTATTTCTATGAAATAAAAAGAAACATTTGTGTAAAAATAAACTTGTAGCAGACATACTAACATTTGTTTTAATACGTAGAACATGCATGTACTTTAAACTGTTTATGATTTCAGAAAAATACGTCGGAATTATCAGAATTATTTGAATGACAAAGAAACAGTGAACTTTCTGTTTGAATCGGGTTCTCTCTTAGAGTTAGATAAAAAAGCTGTATCAAAAGATGAAGACTTAGGCTACATCAGTGAATCATCAAGCCTTTTGTCGTCAGGCAGCAATAACCTGGTGTTAAAGAACGATTTATTATCGTTTTCACTGCATAAAAAAGGAAAAAGGAAAAAGCCCAACATACCTATTCGTACATCTTCACTGCGTGATAGAACAATTAATGGAGGGCACAATCTGGTGAAAAAGGAAAGAATTGTATCAGAAATTGCACCACGAATATTAAAAGTTAAACCTCTTCTTGCTTCAGACAAACGTGAAAAAGAGGATGATGTAGGTAAGTGTACTGTTGTCGGACTGGATTTGACATAAGTCACAATTTCACATTACGAATATATGCTTATTTTAATATCGATAGAGTTTAAGAAATGCAATGAGATTGCGTTGATTTTTACAAACAATGAATTAAAATGTGGTTAATAAAACATAAAAAGGGGAATTGTAGTTAAAGCAATCTTAATGACACGTAAGGTTCTGAATATAAACTAACTGCAAGATGAACATCAGCTTTTCAAAAAAGTGAAAGTATCGAATAAAATTATATTATTTGGATATTGATTTACACAATACATTTTATCATTATTATTGTCTTTTAGAAAACCGTTTGGATTGGAATAAAGTGTTCACATTTCTCGTCAATATTATAGAACCCGCAACATGGAAGCTTTTTTTCATAGAGCTGTTCGGTATGATGTTAGTAAATATTAATTGATAAAATAAACGTAATCACTCTGTTGCTTTACCAAAGCATTTTCCTTACAGTTTTACCAAACTTCTGCGTTTTTCTAATCACGATTAATATTTTCAACATTCGGTAAAGTTGAATATGAAAAGAAAATGTTGTACGAATCTACTATCCATTTGATCGATATTTTCATAGGATTTTATAACAGAAAACTTGCTTGATGTAACAAACATTCACGGTATCATTTTATTTACATGTATTTGTTGCAACACATGTCACTTACATAAATTACATTATGTGCTATTATGCTAATTTTTCACTGTCAAGTTTAATTGAATTAGTAATATATTTAAAGAGGTTCCAATGGTGATTGATAAAGAAATCAGTTGATAAAGAAAATTAATTTGTATCAAATATGAAATCTATGACAAAATGAAAAGTTATTTTTACCTTTACCTTTGAATTCAACATTTACACTTAAATTGGCATCATGCCACTTTAATATACTGTAATTTTGTTAAAATTTTCAATAATTATACTCATGAGATTCACCTGAACTAAGAAGATTGTTTGAACATTGTTTTTTTTAATATTCATCGATTTGAATTGTATTTATTGACACTGTTATGCTACAAAGTCTGTAATGTATACTAAATTTAACTGTTTTATTATATAAGATAATGGACGGCATTTACTTGTTTGTGGAAAGACGTCTAATACAATTATTGAGCATGTTGAGCTGACACATAAAGGAGCAATGTCAGGATTATTTTTTGATTTGTTCCAAGAATGGATTAAACTCATGGGTACCGAAGCAAGTCCTAAACAAATTGAAAAAGCGCTCGAAGGACGAGGGGATAATCATGCATTGTCAAAATTTAAGTATTTCATGAGGTAAGAGCACAGGAATTCGAGAAAAGTAGTCCCTGTAATTGTTACCAATATACATGTGTGATAATGTAGTTATTATCTAACAAATGATACCATTTTGATGTACATTTATTTTTTTCTGAATAATCAATTTTTTTAATCAAAATACTGTATTGCATCTTCTAAACGTTTAATGTGGCAAAATACATTGTTTAATATACCAAATCTGTTTGATATTCATTGTTTTCATGTAACAGCAACTTGCTTCTGTTAAGCAATTACATTTCAAGTGGTGATTTCAAAAGTCTATCTTTTCGTAGCGGACTTTGAAATTGTTTTTCACATGTTAAGGAAAGATTTCTGCATGCACAGCTTTTATTCCCTTTTCCTTGTATTTTGCTTCACAGAAAGAGTGACAAAATTCACTGCTGGAATGCAAATGGCTTTATCAAACCGAGTCTGTACAATTTTCAGTTTTGTCGTGTAAGTGACCTTCAGAGATTCTTTATTTGAACATTTTATTTCTCAGAAAAGCATTTTTGTTTGATAAAAACAGTTCACAATAAATTTATTTTGCAGAAACCTTTTTTATACGAAGCATTTTTTTCTACACAAGTTTGGGACATAAATAAAATAATGCTTTAAAATTTCAATGTCAAAATAACCTTCAATGTATTTGCTTTACAGAACACCACCTTTGATACATGAGCATTGTAAACTGGCAGGATCTGATCATCACATGAAAGAAAATCTTCAGTCGCCTATAAACAATATTGAAAGGCTAGATATATTAGGATTTCGCGAAGATGCCACTTTTAGAAATCGCCAGATTCAATGTATGGCTTTAAGAAATGGCAGCCATACTCAGGGTGCTAACAACTTGTTTGAATCTTATATGTTTGGACAGAGTTTGAATTTTCACTCAATGAGAGAAGAAAGGTACAGATTTGCTGCTGATACGGAGAAACGAACTCGCTATGAAATTTTGTTAACGTACCCGAGTCAACTTATGATGATGAAAGTGATGAACCTCCATATAAAATTAGAAAGTATTGTGTGGATTCTAATTCAATGTCTTTAAGAAGAAAGAATAAAAACAGTCGTTTAAAACTTGGAGAAATGTCTGCGAACCATTGCAGAGAATTAGTTTGCTGGGAAAATATTGGTAGTGAATTTGTTATAGATATTATTAAAAGGCTATTGCCGACAGACACTCAGGAATTGAAATCTGAAGAATACTATCTTTTCCTCCATCATACTGTCAGTGTCATTATGAAGAAAGCAGGAGTTCCAGAAAGAACTGTTCTACTCATGCTGTTAGAAGATTTCAATGATCGTTTTGAGCGTAAGACAAAGCGAGGTCATGTAACGTGTACTATTGATACAAGTCAGGAGGCAATTATGATCGGCTTTGAAGAAGTTGAATGTTTGAAGCTTTATGTGGATCATGCTCGCAAACGAGTGATAAGAGAACTTAAAGAAAGTAACAAGGACTACGTCGAAAGCGAATATCTGTTTATAGGCTATGATGGTAAACCTATTGTAAATGAGGTAATATAACAATTATGTCTCTTACTTAATATTGCATCTGTGTTGTGCTTCTGTTGATAAAAAGTATGCAAAATGTTATTTATTTACTATTTACTATTATATGTGTAGCATTTTAAGAGGATTTGATGATGTAATTTACTAAATAAATTTAGCTACCAGTCCTTAACCTTTTCAACACATTCGTTCTCTGTTGTTTAAAATGCACTGTGAAAATGCATGAGCAAATGGAATACTGCAAGCATAACTTAACAAATAAAATGGTTAAAGGGAAATTAGCTATAAACAGATAGAATTTGAATAATATTTGAATGTTCAAATCAAGCATGAAACGTTTGATTTTTTTATATTTTCTTGTGTGTGAAAAAGGTAGATCTATAATATTTAAAGTAATTGTGTGTAAACCTTCGCGTTTTTTTTCCTTTCACATGTAGTCATTCGATGATACGATCGTAAAAGAAACTGAAAGTGAAAAGAAAGCATTAACGTGTAGCACACTCAGCCAGGAATCAGTTCAGATGGAAGCTTGTCGAAAGGATCTTAATGATGATAAACATATTCGTGAGGAAAAAATCCAGACATCTGAAGTACAAGATATGAAGATGAATCATTTGTCTCTCGTAAAAACGAATTTGATTGGTGTTTCAAACTATGATGAACCGAAGTCAACCGAAGGTATATCAACAAATATCGACGTTTGTCAAATAAATGAACATAAACATTGTATGGATTAAAACAAATTTTCAATGCATGTATCATGTTCATTGGCCAAGTAAATTGGCATAAAGAAATGAAGATTTTTTTTTGCATAACAAGCATTGGATGTATATCATACACTTGACTTATACATATTCTATCCTTACTGTCTAACATTAATATGTATTAAATTCAAATTTACAAAGTTTTCTCTGTTTTGTTTACATATAATTTATGTAAAGGACACTTTAACATGACATTACTTATTTAAGTTTCATGACACTTAGAACTAGGAAAGAATTTTTCCTGTGATGCATTTTCACTGGTATTACTTGTATTTAAGCTTTGCCTGTGTAATAGTACATTTTCATTTTTATGATAAACAAGGTTTCTTAGATTTCAGTTTGCTTGTTGAAAATGTGAATGATGATAGAGATGGGGAGGTGAACGATGATAAAAACCAAGAGTTGAATGACGACAAACCTATCTGTGATGGCAGATTACAGACATCGGAAGGACAAGATAATAGTAAAATAGATGATTTATGTCTCGGAAAAGAAAGAATCGTCAATGTTTCAAAATGTGTTGAATCAAAGTCACCCGAAGGTATTTTTAAAAAATAACTTGTACTCTTTGATAAAAAAGAAAACAATGTCCTGAATGAAAGTCTGTATAACCTTTTTCATTTACTTACGCACTTGTAGTTGTGAGAATTTTAATTTTAAGCAATTATTTCTTTTACTTAATATACCAATATCTTATCAACATTAGCTGATACATAACATTTTTTTGCCCCCACTTTAGGGGGGGGGACATTTAGATTTACCCTTGTCCGTCCGTCTTTCGGTGCCTCCCTCCGTTCTCTCAACGCTCAAAAAAGTATTTGACCTAAAGTCATGAACCTTAACAGGAATGTTGATCAGCATGTGCATTTGTGCACCCTGAGTTTCGCTTGTGGTTTATCTAGTATTTGTAGAGTTATTTCCATTGATTAGTAAAAAACGTTCATTATGTTGTGTTATTTGTTCTTTGAGTGGTTGAGTTAGAATCAACCAACTTTACAGGAATAATGTTCAACATCACTGTGAAGCTATGCACCTATGACTTTGCATGTGATTTTTTTCAGTTTTGTTAGAGTTATTGCCCTAGACTTACAGTAGTATAAATTTGCAATTTTCAACTTGTTCATGCATAGCTCAAAAAATATTTGACTTGTAAGCCTGAAAGTTTACAAGAATGTTGGTCAACATGTGTACATATGCACCTTGGGGTTTGCTTGTGGATTTATATAGTATTTGTAAGGTGTTTGCCCTTTACTTTGTAAAAGAATTTTAGCTTTCAACTTGTGGCACATGTAGTCCTAAAAATATTTGACCTAGAGTCATAAGATTGACAGAACAGTGGAGTGCGGGGGCACCAGTGTCCTATGGACATATTTCTAGTTTTAAATAAATAATTGTATTTTAATTCAAGGTGATAAAAAATTCAGATTTTAAGTATTTTTATAATGACAACAGTGATTCGTTTAAATGGTCAAGTTATTACTTGTTTAGCTTCTATATACTAACAATTAAACAGAATACAAGTATTTTGTGTACATTTCATTTGTCGTCCGGATTTTTAAGCAGCTTAATCAAGGAAAACGTTGCCATTCCTGTTTAACATGCCTTATTTCTGTGCGAATTCTTAGTATAAACAACTTGCATTCATAGGTTTCAGTTTGACTGATAAAAGGAGAATTGTTAATAAACTATATATGAAGAAACCTCAGACATTTATTTGTGTAATCTTTAAGCAAATTAACCAACATAATTTTGGGTTTTTTATGTTATACATATATGGCAATGCATAAGTTGATGAACTTTATTCTATAGAATTCAGTTTGACCTGTGGAAAGATAAATGGTGAAAATATGAAAAACAAGAACGAAAAGGAAATGTTGCATTCAATGAACGCATCACCCACACGACCAAGCAACACAGGACTACCGGCAAGGAGCCCAGCAGGACAAAGGGAAAAGACGACCAAAAGCATTTCTAAAACGAAACTTGTCCCAATCGGGTCGGAAGAAATAACAATACAAAATGAAAGTCTTGATGACTTTATTCTGAATATCGGAGAATTTTTGGCAAGTGATAGATGTGAAGGACAAAGTTTCGATGGAATATATAAATTGTCGAGACCTTTGCGACTATATTTATTTTACGAAAATTAATGTCAATGTCTGAAGAATTATTCCCTTCGTTATTTTTTTAGATTTAAAGTTATAGAAAAATCAGCAAATATTTCCTTTTCAACTTTATTTAGTGCTTCATAAGCCTGTAATGTCTGTGAAAACTGCATGAAAAGATCTGTAAACAGCGTATGAACAGAATTTTGGGAGAAGCGGCAATTATACATCATCTAAAATGTGCCTTTCCTTGATTGATGCACGCAATCCCATGGTACAATTTCCTTGTATGTTTCAGTAAGACAAATTGTAATTTTTTACTAAGGGAAGTAAATGCTCTAACGAATAAATTAAGACTTCTTTACAAAGTGTTACCCCCAGTTTTAATGATATTAGTGTCTTTTTAAAAAAAAACGATAAGAGGTTACATTAGAATTAAGATAGCGATTGATAATATCCTCTCAAAATACTGTGAATGTATGTATGATTCCATTGAATATTTTTACGAAGAAAATACACTAGACAATCAAGTTGTTTAATGATTTTAAGTAAAAGTTATATAATTACCATTCAAGTGTAAATGGCGAATGTACTGGAAATGGTCAAAATAATTTAAGTCTTTGTCATGTATTTTTTCAGTGTTATATTTAAGTTTGCATGAATAATCAATAACTCACGTGACAACACATTTTTTTAATATCCATCAGAATATATCGGTAATGTTCAATTTAGAAAATGTTGATACAGTCCTAATATATGGCATTTTTTACATTTGCTCTTAAAAATTAGTCATCAGTTATCATTTATCAATCAGCAATATAATTATTAATCTCTATTTAAATACATAGCTAATTCAGCACATTTTCATAAATTAATTGTGAGAAAAATCCTTTTTAATTATTTTCTTATTCAATAACGAGAATAACAAAAATGTAGAATATTGTATATTTAGTAAATATAGGTCAATCTTTTATTTTGATGTTCAATAGTATATTTCAAATGCTGAATGCATTAGTGTAGAGAATAATTTTCTTTTTTCGAAAATCGTTAGATTATGACGTACGTTTTTATTTGAATTATAACATCTGTTGTAGAATCAAAAACTATTGTTTGTTGTCTTGCAATATCTTGCCCATTAACAAACTATACATAGTAAATATAATCTGTCAAACACAATTGTTATCAGCAATGTAATGCATATTGATAATAACACGCTGTGATATCGACGAAAGAAACGAAAATATTAAATACGTCTGGGATTTCAAAGGAAATTAATCATAAAGTCTGGACATACTTAATGTCATATCACAGACCTGTGTAGAGTCTAGTAATCTTTTTCTTCTTATAGAACATATATTTATGATCTGTCATGATAATAATATTCTCAATGATTGGTATAGACTGATAATTGTGTCTTTCAATTTACAGACATTAAGAGTGCTATCCTTAATAAGCTGGGTCTGCATCTTGCTTCAGAAAACATAAAGGGACAGATATATCGTTATCCATGTCAGTGTTTCACAATAAACATTTTTCTGTTTTCATTCATTGTGATTTATCTATTTAGCTGATATTATCTCGGTACTTTGCAACCCTCTGTATCGTTATATCCTTATCAAATAAGATTATTACCTCGATCTGATCATAAATGATCACAGATGATTACAGATTCAGAATAACATTATGAATGTTATTATAGCTTTTGCCGATAACATCCTACAACTGAAACAGAGAACGATAGATACATCTTATTTAATAATTACATTACATGTCCAAACAACCAATGCCTGTTGTCGCCATAGAATAATATTTTGACACATTAATGTGACGTGACAGAAAATGTAAATGAGGTAAAGCGCATGCTGTATTTGCCTAAACGAATTGCATGACGACCAACATTTAATTTTTAAAAAAATTATGATTTGCAGGTTTAGTTTTGCTTTTGTTTATGTTTATACAGTAAAATCAAATATCCGATTACAAACTGTGTACAAAAGGCAAATACATGAGCGATGAAATATGAATTATGAAAATATAAGAAATATGAACGAAAACTAAAATTGCCCAAACGCATTGCATGATGATCATGATTCTTATGATTGTAATAATATGATAATGCAGGTAAAGTCGATTATGCTTTTACTTCTGTTTAAACAAGTGTACAAAAATCACATACATGAGCGATTAAATATAAATTATGTAAATAGATGAAAAGAAAAACAGAACCAGTCAGAAACATGAACAAAATAACAAAAAGGATATTCAAATAAAAATGATAAATCAAGACGAAATCATGCAATTTTGATGTCTGATATATTATGAAAACATGGTGTTATAATAATTGATAATGAGTTATCCGAGAATATTATCATATTTAAGATCATTTAGTAAACAAACATTTCAAAAATACTTGAAAGAAAGACATTGTTTACATCGACGAGACTAGGGCATGTTGTCTCACAGTTAACAAGAGTAAATGGCTATGACATAAAACTTTATGCTAATGGACATTTCTCTGTTTCAATCCTTATCACAGGTCAAGCTCATACCTAGTCAAGTCTCTCTGGGTGGCGGAAGGTTCCCTTTGTGGCGGTTTTTACCTCCCAGTTTGGTTATTCCGATACAAAAATGTACATGCCATGTTTGTTATTATGTAACATTTGTCATGTTTGTTATTATGTAACATTTGTCATTTATGGCATTTATTAAAAGCCCTATTTCATTCAACCTAAGTGTTGTGTTTTATCTCATACCAAACAAGTTCGTCTTGCCAGTTATATTTGCTTGACCTGGACAATACATAAATAAGATTTCATGCCCACATAAAATAATTTATGTCATTGGTCTGTCCCTATTCTCATTACTGTACAGAATATTACGGGTCAGGTTTTAGCCATTACGGGTCAGGTTTTAGCCAAGTACGTCTTAGCCAATCGATATCAAGACTTTAATCATGTGATGTTAATTAACCAATGATTACATTAGATCTATCACAAAGAAATAATTTTGGCGAGGAATGATTCTCGCCTTTCTGTATTACTAAAATCCACCTCCTCCAACTCCATCCTCCTCTTTCAATTTTTGTTGTTGATATAAATACCATTTCATTTATTCTTAATGAATCAGTCGTTTCACTTATTGTTTATCTCAAAACTTTTGTGCAACTATTCATGATATACACTATATATACTGTATATTGTTCATGCAAAGATTTATAAAACTAGTCAATGTTATATTATCTCTTTCAAATATTTTTCTATTTGTTGTCATAAATACTCATGATCTAGTCATATGTAATACACTTATTCATGTATAGAATGTTTAAAATATTTTCCAAGGATGGAGCCCTACATCAAGTGGTACTAGACACAAGATAAAAGGGCACAGGTTTCCAAACTATGGTTTTTCCTGGGCGAGTCGACCACGATTTGGAAAATATTTATTTTTTCTGGGCAATTGTTTTTGATCAGCAATCCATTTTATTATATTTATGTATATGGTTTTTGGTTCAACTTTGTCATCTTTCATAACTTTTGTTAAGATTGTTGTCTATTTGAATTACATTACAATGTTATCATAATCTGGCGGTTCGATACCAAAATGTACATGCCATGTTTGTTATTATGTAACATTTGTCATGTTTGTTATTATGTAACATTTGTCATTTATGGCATTTAATAAATGCCCTATTTCATTCAACCTAAGTGTTGTGTTTTATCTCATACCAAACAAGTTCGTCTTGCCAGTTATATTTGCTTGACCTGGACAATACATAAAAATATATAGATATTATCGTCGGCTTACTCTTAAAATGTCCTAACTGCCAAAATGCAATTTTGAGAAAAACGACTTTAAACATTTTGCATCTTAATATTTTTTTCCGCGTGACCCTACTGAATTGAAATTTTTCACACATCTATATTTAGGATTTTAATGCGCACAAAAGGGTTTTTTTTTTCTTTCTGGAGAAAGACTGAGAGTAAATATGAAAAAACAAATTTGAGATAGAGCAAAAGGTCAAAATATTTCTTAAAAAGTCACTCTAAAAGTGCGTCATTGGAGATAAAGCAAAGTAATACCAAAATTTAATGAAGGAGCTAGAGATACGATACTTTAATGGTAGAAATTATTATATACACAGGCTATTTTAACCTTTAAAATACACTTATTATGCTTGTCCGTATGTGCAATTAGATTTTATTGTAAATCATTACAAGCCGTCGCAATAATTTTAGAACGCAAATGAGCGACTGGATGTTTCTTTGTATAATAGTATAAAACTTGCTAAATAAGTGAAGGGAATATAATTTCAGGAAACCGACCTCAACGTAACGTAATGCATCAAACCTAAAGTGTTAAGACTTTATGATATTGGTCCCCAGATATTTAGTCACAACAAGTTAAACAATTTATAACTGTTTATCATAACTTTTGTAACATTAATAAATATGACTTCTTGTCATGACAAATAGAAATTGATATCTTAAACATAAATACTGATTGTAAATTAAGTAACAAAGAAACATATCTTGATTATAGACAAATATAGATATACGTCATATAAAAGGTATAAAATTGTCTTTATATTTGAATTTACAGCATGTTACTTTGCAAAATCTCAATCTGTACGTATTAACATAATTATACAACTGACATTAATGCAAAATGTCTGTATTAAACAAAAAAAACAACAACATAAAACAACGTCTCGTCATACCGTGAAAAAAATCATGAACAATTTGATTTTTTTATTATCTAACATTTTTTCAATGGACTAAGATTAACATTATTAAAATGTTATTTACTTTTTTAACAATGTAAGAAAACCTGTTGCCAAGGAACTTCATCAAATCTGCCATGAAGTAGTCATTAATATTAAACGTAAATCAGCTGTTCATGTGACTTGCAGTTTTCAACATAAATGCAACAATAACATGATGCCAAAGTACAACATCAAAAAAGAAAATATATTCCGATGTCTCATCATAACATTGCATTTAGTAAATTTCTCAAACATAATATTAATCACATTCAGATGTAGATGAGTATTTGGTAAATTGTGTTATGTGTGAATAATACCA